CAGGGTAGTAGTTATAAGATCTCACCATTTTATTTTTATATTTTTTTAAGATTTATTTTTATTTATTTATGCATACAAGAACTGGGGTGTAGGCCAGAGTGCAGGGGGGTAACAAGATTCACCAAAGACAGAGTGAGGAGCAGAAGAGAAAGGTCTACTGAAATACACTGCTGAGGAGAGCAGCATGCGAGACAGGAGAGGTCTGCTGCACCATGTCGGTTAGCTCCCTGGCCGGGCATGGAACTCCTGCTGCAGTGACTGGGCATAGCTTGAGAGCTCTGAGACTTTAACCTCTGCACCATCAGTGAGGCCTAGCTTTCAGCTTTTTAAAAGGATCACTCTAATTTCTGTGCAGAGAATAAAGCATAAGTGGTCAATGGATGAAAGTAAAAGGAATTGTTGGGTGGCCAATCAAATAAAACAGATAAGGAATGATGGGGCTCTAGTCACTAGGTTTTGCATGGTAGAATTCTGGATATACTTTGAAGACAGGGCCCTTTAATATTATTGTATTATTGTTTTAAAAAGTATTCTGTTTCTTTGCATGGACTGGAGATCATGTATTGGAAAGACACTATTTCTTTGTAATATTTCTACATATAATTTATTACTTTTCCTTAACATGAAATAATTTTGAGAGTCTAGCTGGCTATACTCTCATAGAGAAAACATGATTTTTTTATTTTTAAATTTTTTTTAGTGGGAGTGATAGAAGATTGGAGATATATTTCACAAATTATATATCAATTAGTTTTTATGATGAACTTGGCTCTCCTGTGGTGGATAATTTCTCAGCACCTTAACCATAAACATATCTGGTAATAATATGTAATATTGCCAAATTTTAATTTTAAATTTATTTCTCAAAATAAGCACTGTAGTTATGTCATAACTAGTTCACTACCTTCTACTGATATGAAGATAAATTGAAATTTTTTATGTTGAAAGAAATGATAGGATAGTGGAAAAGACAGAGATAAAAGAGTATATAAGAATACTTTAAGGGGCCTCCCCCGTGGCCAGCGGTTGAGCTCTGGGCTGCGAAGCTGCCCGCAGCTTCTGCAGTGCCGGTTCGATCCAACGGAGAGGGTCCACATGGCGCGCAGACCTCTCCTGCCGCCCGCTGCTCCACTCAGCAGTGTACTTCGTCGGTCTGCCTGATCTGCTCCCCGCTCTGGCTCTAGTGAATTCTCTCACCTCCCATGCTTCTGATTGTACCCAGTGCTTGTATAAATAAATAAATCTTTGAAAAAAAAAATACTGCAAGAGTGAATTACCTTGGCAGTAAAGCTCATTCATCTTCTTAGATAGACTCTGAATACCCTGAACATCTTTTGCAAACATCATGGAGTTTGGCAGTGTGGCTCTTATTGATATTTCAAAAATACGTGTTGAAATTTTCAATTTTTTTTTTCAGTTTGAGTATTGATAAACTAATTTTTTTTCCCCTGGCAAAACCAATATTCTCTTTTTGGAATTAGGCAGCAATCTCAGCTCTTCATGGTAAATAGCACCTAAAATGATAGGAAAAATGGAGGAAAAAAGGGTCTCATGGGGCCTCCCTGGTGGCACAAGGGGTTAAGTCTTAGTACTATGAAGTCTCGGCCAGGGAGCTAACCCAGATGGCACAGCAGACCTCTTGTCTCACTTGCTGTGTACTTCAGTGTATTTTAGTAGATCTCCTTGTTCTGTTCCCCACTCTGTCTTTGGTGAATCCTCTCATCCTCCACACCTCTGACCTATACCCCCATTCTTCTACATAAAAATAAATCTTTAACAACAACGAAAAAAGATCTCATGATAAATATTCTCAATTTCACTCAATGTACTTAGGGGTCATTTATGTTTTATTTACATCAATTTCTGTTGTTAAATTAAATACCACTCACTAATTTGTGTCTCTAGCCACATCTTTCCCCTGAATATCAGGTATATATCTCTTGCCTACAATTAATGAATCACAAACTGAATTCACAATCTGGTCACTTCCCCATGAAAACATTGTTCTCGGTTTCCATAAAAGTCATCTCCATCTAATTGTTAACACTTAACCCTTCCAATTGTCCTGGCCCTAAAACTTGAGTTCATCCATCACTCCTTTCATCACACATTCTGTCCTTAAGAAATTCTATTTGCAATAATTTCAAATTATATATAGCATGTAACTTTTCTCTGAATAATCACAAGCAGACAAGATGATTGCAGAGTTCTAAATGGTCTTCCTAGCTCTCATCTTGCTCCTTTATACTTTATTTTCATTACAATAACCAAGTGATCCATTTAAAACATAATTTATTTCCATGTCACATTTCTGCTGAAAACAATTGCTTCCCCAATTCAATTGGAATAAAAGTCAAAGTTATTACAATGTTTTGTAAGTTACTACATGACCCTGGTCTACTGTTAGCTGTGTTACAGAGGAATAGTATTCAAGATCTACCAAGAGAAGGGACTCTAGGAAAATCACACTTGGATGCTTGAGGAAAACACTGAGGCACTCTCTTTAGGAGTGAGTGAAAATTAGAGGAGTTTAACAGAACTATAATCCAGTTCTACTTAGCTTAGTTGCTAATTAGATGAAGATGATAGCTGCCCCATTCTGCTTTATTTGCTAGGCAGAGAGCATAGAATAAGCTCTTGTGAGGAAGTCAATATTATCTGGAATCAGCACAGTTTTTTACACATAATTTGTGCCATTTCAGTAATACTAGGCAGGTTATGATAAAGGATAATATGACCAGAAACATAAATAGTCTAAGTAAACAATTTACAGGTTATTTTGTTATTATATTTAGTTAATAAGAACATTAAAATGTTCAAGAAAATAGGAAAACATGGATAGAAAGATGAAAAGTTAGAAAATGTTACTACTATAGAATTAGAAGTTGAAAGAAATTCATAGTCTAGGGCTAAAATCAAAAACTTAAAAGATTAGAAACAGCAGAAGACAGTATTCAATAGAAAATATCCAGTTAGAAATCTTGAATGAGAAAAAGTATAAGAGACATATATAGAACACATGAATATGGTCTGGAATTCTAGAAGGAAAGAGAAAATGTGACAATGACAATATTTAAATAGTTAGTGGTTAAGAATAATCTAAATTGATGAGAGATTCAATAGAAAAACTGTTGGAAAAACGATATAAAAAGAAATCATACTCAGGAATTTCATAGCAAAACTTTGAGGACCAAAGACAAATGGGACATCTTTAAAAAGCAGTTAAAAAAAAAAGACTCTTTGTCTTCAAAGCTTGACAGCTACTCAGTGAAAAGATGGAAGCCAGAAATCAATAGAATGGCATCTTAAAAATGCAAAAGAAAAAATGCCTCTATGAATTTTATATCAAGCAAAATAATCCCCTAAAAATGAGAACAAAATAATTAATGACATTTTCAAATGAAGAGTAAGAGCTGATCACCAGCAGATCTGAATATACAGAAATCTTTAGGTCATTCCTCAGATGCAAGTAAAATAATTCCGGATAAAAATATGAAATTTCTAGAAATAGAAATTCCAGAGGTAAGATAAGTATGTGGGTAAGTCAAACATGTACTGTACATATAAAACCACATATGACTTATAACATATTGATGTTAATATTGATAGTTTTACCAAATATTTGCTATTGATAATATAGTTTTCCTTCTTTCCATTTCAAATATCTGTCTACTGTCAATCGGTTCGCTACTTTCATATGATATCTATGTATGTATTTCAGAAAATGCATACTTTTTACTTGAGAGATGTGCTTTATTTTAACTATACAATGATATAAATATAATGAACTAAAGTCTAAAAATAAAGAACAGGTATTGGTAAGAGCATTTTGTATGTGTCTTGTATTACTCCTTTAATTCTGCCTGCAATATCAATAAAATCTTGCAGTTACACAAACTTTCAAGATTTAGATAAGTCTTTCAAATCTCACTCCTCTTAAACATAGGAGGGGATAAAACAAATTGAAATATACATAGTTAAAGAGATTGACTATAATGTTTAATTCCTCAAAATCACTCATACTTAGGCAGTAAAAGCAATAAATGGCAATTGTGGTCCTCTTATTGGTGACTTATGCCCATATCTACAAAAAAAGAGATGACTATTTTGAAAATATAAATTCAAACTATTTATATCTGCATATATTAGATACATGGGCAGTAACAAGCCTAATTCCTTGAAAAAAATTAGTTTGTAAGATGCAGTAACACTGTAACATAAAATGTGTCTTACAATACTAAATCTAAATTAAATACCTACTCTTGACTACTCATACTGAACATTTAATATAGAAGTACTACTTTTTATATTTTAATTTACTAATGGCATCATTTAAAACAATTACATTCATCCATGGATATATTTATTTGCTGCTCAGAATCAAATGAGATGACTGTTTAGGAATTGCTCAATCTTATACAGGGAACTTATGCCTTCTATTAGTTTGCTGAATCCATTTAGATTTAATGAGAATTGCTCACCAGTTATCCAATTTTTAATATCCTTAGTAAATTAGTACTGAAAAATTGTGTCTATAAAGCATTGAGATCTTTCACTCTAGTTGAGTTCCTATTCAGAAGGTACCTTTCAGTATGACATAATAGATACATCATTAAAAAGTTTTCAACATCATATTAAATGCTAATTATATCTGATCAAATACATATTAAATTTAAATTTAATTATAGTTCATTTTGTCCTTGACATATTATTGAAAACAGTGCTTGCATTTAAGTTGGTAGCAGATTGATTTCAAGTTTATGATAATCTTCAAGATTGAAATCAATCTGTTGACTTTCATTGTTAGAAATAGGATTTCTTGCTAGATATGGGATTTTTATTTGATTTCATAAAGGAATTTTTGAATAGACAAAATAGATGAACACCTACTGTGAGATATTTATTTTACTTAGGGCCAACACTGTAAAAATTAATATATACATTTCATTGCCAGAATCAAGAAAATTTTGGTCTTTTTACTTTTACTTCTTTTTTTTTCATGACAGAGGGGTAATGTACTGACGTCGTAACAAGGTTTAAGGGAGACACATCTCACACAATGGCGTGAATACCCAATTATCATGCTTATGAACCAGAAAAGGATTTAACTTTTGGTCTTTTTAAATCTTGTAAATTACTTGAGGGAACAACAATACTTTAGATATTTTAAATATCTGGACTACAAAGCATTTTTATAGCTTGTTGCTGTGCTGATGGAAATTATCTAGGGAGCTAGGAGAAGGAAGCAGAATCTCATTCCTAAGTGAACCAGAGTTGCAAATGAAAAATTGCCCTTGTGACAACCTCTCACAAGGTTGGTCTCCTCCATGAACATAGCCTAGTTTTCTGTTTATTTCCTTTAGACTTTCTCAGAAAATATTTGTGGTTTTCAGTATATGAATAGCATATATCATTTCTCTTTTTTAATGAAGTAACATTAATGTACAATGCTGCATATTATTGTATATGATGCAGAGGTATAGGATATCTCTCTTAGGTCATTGTTACCACAACCACACCCACTACCAATTCACTGAAAGTCCTCCACCTTAGGCGGCCTCTCCCCTCCCCCTCCCACTGCAGTTCTAATGTGACATTTCTATGATATGTTATTGGTTTGGCTTTGTTTGACCCTTTGTTTTGTTTCTTTATATTCCAAATATAACTAACATAATCTTTCTCCTTCTGACTTATTTTGCTTATCATAATCCCCTCTAATTCCATCCATGTTGTGCCAAATGGTAAGAGCTTATCTTTTTTTTTTTTTTTAAGATTTATTTATTTATTTATACAAGCACTGGGTACAGTCAGAAGCGTGGGAGGGTGAGAGAATTCACCAGAGCCAGAGAGGGGAGCAGAACAGGCAGACTGACGAAGTGCATTGCTGAGGGGGGCAGCCAGCGCAGCAGGAGAGGTCTGCGGGCCATGTGGGACCCTCGCCCAGCAGCCGGGGATGGAACCAGCGCTGCAGAGGCTGCAGGCAGCTTTGCAACCCAGTGCTCAACCGCTGCGCCACTGGGGAGGCCCTCCTGCCCATTTTTTGATTGGGTTATTTGTATTCTTTTGGTTGAGCTGTCTGAACTCTTTATATATCTTGGATATTGGCTCTTTGTCCAATATATAGTGTGAAAGTAATAGTATTATTATTTACTTGGTATTCTTAATACCAAGTCTTAACTACTTGATTTTGTTGTTTAAAGTATTGAAAATAATTTTTAAGAATATTTTGTATTTCATATTATTATTTCCAAATTATTGTGATTGCATTCTAAAACTTAGTGAAAAATCATAATAAAAACAGTTAAAATCAGTTATGAAACTATAAAATCACTCATATCACCAGTGTTTTTTATTTGCACATAACAGATAACAGAGTGCTACCATAGCTTCCCCATTGTTAAAGTAAGCAGTAAATTGGAAAATAACATAGAACAGAATTGGAACTAAGAACAACAATGAAAAATACTACCTAAAAGTCATCTAATTAGATGATCATTTTTGGCATTTGAAACTAATGGTAACCCTTTCTTGTATAAATTTAGATTTGAGATTGGCCTTCTCAGAGATATAATTTTTAGAAGAAGGAATAAAGAAACGTACTACAAATGGTTTTCAAATAAAATAAGAAAGCTTCTATGAGTATTTTAAGCATAAAAAAGTTTCATTAGACAGCAGTGATTTAAAATTATAGCCAAAATACACTGGTTACCTTGACAATCAGGAAATTCTTGCAATTGAAGTTTCCAGACCAGGAAGTTAGCTAACAACTATAGATGATTTCCACAAGAACACTGACAATTAGTCTGGGATTAGTAGCTTTGTAATGACTTTGTATATTGTAAAGATTTATTTTTGGTTCATTTCTGCACAACAAATTAGATTTTAGAGTTGAAAAGGAGTTTTTCTCCCCTGTGGTCCTCAATCATTTTGTTCTCCACCCTGCACACTTGAGGAAAACAACCAGCAACTATAGTTAACCACTGGTGTGATTCCCCAAAGCTGGGAGTTCAGCATCGTGGTGAAGAAGTGGGAGACTACAGGGGATTGTGTGTTGATCAAGTCCTCAAAATAGTTCTAATAGCCTTTTTCCTTCATCAAGAATCTTATGTTTAATATAATTTTTTAAAATGAGGCAATTTAAACTCAGTTTTTGCCACATTGTTCAGGAAATTAGGTGAGCAATTGAAATTAGAACCCATGTCTTCCATTTTCAAATGCATTGATCTTTCTAAAGCATCAGGTTTTACTGCTAATGACCAGGGGTTTCTTTCAGGGGTGCCAATCCTTTATAAAGGAATTGAGCAATTAGGCAAGACAAACAAGCATTCAGACAGGGTCTTATTAAGCTGTGCACAAGGGAGGCAGAACTGGAAGAGAAAATTTGCAGCCTCACTCACTAAAGGGAGCTAGGTAGGGGCTGTTAAGGGGTGAGTCTCCCAGGGCGGGGAAGAGGCAAGCAGTGTCACAACATGTTCTGGGTGGAGCTATACTGGGGCATGCACAGATGGGTTGCATGCCTTCTCCATACCTTGCATGTTTCATGAACATCTTAAATCTTCACCCAGAAGTGTGCGTTCTAGCATGCTAATGAAACTCTGGTCACTTTTGATTGGGGCTTTTACTACCCCTCGCCCCCACCCCGGAAACTATGAAACAATCACTCGTTTGGATATTGCAGTTTCTGTCTAAGTATGATGTCTTTGTTGTTTAAACGGGATTGTAAGGCAGTGACCTGCCAGCTCATCTTTTACTCCACCTATTCAAATAGGACGATGGCATCTTTTATCCTATTGGCTCCCAATTTATTTCATCTAGTCTATCTCATTACTACACACCTCATAAAGATATCTTACAGAGAGTAATGATTTACCATTTCACTTCACAAATGCACATGGATTCCTTAACCCTTCCTTCCTTTGTTTTAAACTTGTTTAGTTTAACTGAAATACTCAAATATGCATTGCCTGATATTAATGCTTCCTGACAACTGGTGATATCAGTAGAGTTTTACCAGTATTTTAACAGATTTTGTCTTTTATTATTTAGATTTTGGAACATACTGTTGGAATATTTAACCAGGGATAAAAAACTTTCAGAACTCTTGCTCTAATGATTGCTTTTGACAATCTCATCCAATGCTTGTAGTTTCAACTGTGGTTTCACCAGTTTCCTATAACTAGGAGGATGATCTTAGGGGGCAGCAGACAGCAATGGCACACTTCCCTTTTCTGTTGTTTACAAGTAGTAAAAAAAAGAGCATTGTTAGGTAACTGAGATCTGTCAGTCTCAATTCAAGTTTCCTGCTTTTTGGGTGAAACTTCAGAAGCTTCAGTTCAGAAACTACCTGGTCAGATCAAAAGGATTCATCCCAATGCTCACTATGCAAATTACTTCATGACCCTCAATGTGATGTCGGAATCTTGAAAGATTCTTTTTTAAGTTGCATCTTGAGCTTTAAAAAATATTTAATCCTAATGCAGCTTTTCTTTATTAATTATAATTTTTTAAAGGTTTATTTATGCATACAAGAGCAGGGGCACAGGCCAGAGGTGCTGGGGGTGAGAGGATTCATCAGAGACAGTAGGGAACAGAACAGGCAGATGTACTGAAACACACTGCTGAGGGGAGCATTGGGTGAGACGGGAGAGGTCTGCCGCGCCATGTGGGTCACCTCCCTGGCCAGGGATCGAACTCATGCTGCAGTGGCTGTGGATAGCTTAACAGCCAATGCTCAACCCCTTGTGTCAACCAGGTTGGGTGGGGGAGGGCTAGCTATAATTTTTATTGAGATAATGTTCATTTACATCATTGTGTGTATTTTGGGAACATAGGCCCCTCCCATGCCCTTCAAGTGTTATTACCAGCATGCACCCACCGCCAAAGCACTCTCAATCCACCACCTTAGCTCAATGTGATCCCTCTCATCCTTGCTTTCACCCCCCTCCCTTGATTCCTCAGTTGCACTATATTTTCAAAAATATACAAACCCTTACCAGGATTATATCGTTTTTTAGTAGAGATTCACGTATTTGTTTAAAAAAATTCATTTAGCTTCTACTCTGTGCCAGACTTTATTCTAGGTTCTGGACATAGAGTAGTCATTAAACTCTTTGCTTTCATTAAGTTTATAATATTGTTGGAACTTACAGCTTTATAGTTAGGCTGACAAAGTTTTTGTACAACCCCCCCTCCACACACACACACCTATACACATTGTTAACCTGAAAATTCAAGAAAACATTAAGAAGGCAAATGCAGGGTATACAGATTTATGTAGAACCTAAAATGTGTCCCAAGAAGTGATAAAAGTTAGCATTTTTTATTTTACAAAAAGAGAAAGATGAGTAAAATTGTTAAAGAAAAGTTAATCAGTGTTGACAAGGTTAAACTTGTTTAACTAAGCTGAACTTTACATAATGTTTACTTACTCTATTCTCCATTCTCCCATAAAACATATACAAGCATTAGTCTTTGTGATCCAGATGTCTGCTGATTTTTAAGACAATGGTTAGTGAAACAATTGTCGTTTGGCCTATCCAAAGGTCTTTGGCCAAGTATAAACAAGACAATAAGGGATTTTTTTTTCTACTGTGGAATCCGAGACCCATTTTAAAATGTATACACATGTGTCAGCTTTTTACAATGTCTCTCTGTCTGACTGTGTGTGTGTTTGATTGTAAGTACTAATAAAAAAAAAAATAAAGTGAGGAAGGAAAGAGTATTTCCCAGGGGTTAATTTAGCATGTCAGGGATTGCCTGCCTGAGGAAGTAACGCTGAAGTAGAGATATAGATTAAGCGAGCATGAACGAGGGTGGTATCCGAGAGACTATTTCAGACCATGGGAAGAGCTTGCTCACATGTTTGTGGAATTACAGAGAAGTGGTGTGGTTGGAAGACTGAGACACGAGAGGAGATGAAATCTGAGAAGTTGTCAGGACCAGCTCATCTGAGCTTTGTAGGTCTTAATAAGGATTTTGGATGTGTCTATAAAATATCCATAAAATAGAGGGATTTGAATTGAGGAAGGGCAAACGTGTGTGGTGTAAAGAATAAACTACAGAGTGACTAATATTGAAGCATTGTATGGCTGTCAGAAGAAGGCA